ATCAAGTTATCAATACAATTAGTTGATTGGACCACAAAATATAAGTTCAGTGACAAGTTAATGGGCGAATTAATTACAATTAAACCATGATAAGATGTCGGCAAAATGATTATGTAAGCGATAGTTTATCGGCGGTGCCAGTGAACCAGCTCAATGCTAAGACTTATTTAACTACAGTAAACAATAACAGGAAATAAAACATAGTAAGATTATTAAGGTCCTATATAATTAAAACAATTGTGGAATAGAAAATAAATAGCAGAAATATAAGGTATATGTATGAGTTTAAATAATATAACGCATATCATTATGACAAATAAAATACAGTTTAGAAATAAATGAATATAAAAAAAATGTACATAAGTAGAAATAATATATAGCATATATAGTTAGATACTGTATTCATAGAGAAATATTGCGTATGAAGGCATAATCACATGTAGAGCCTTAAGTCCTTATTTAGACCCTTAATGTGAGTTTTTAACCAGATTATCCATTTCATTTCTGCGTTACGTCGTTCTTGTGTTGATTTAAAATTGAAACCTATTATTATATACCTAAAGTCATTGATGGTGTGATAATAGGTGAATTAAAATGTACACTTACTGGGCAGTTGATTTTGTCTTATAGCTGATTTTTGGATGTTCATTCTAGATCTGAATGTTAGGCCAACATAGTTTCCCTCGTTGCATTTGTTGCAGTATATGAGGTATACAATATTGGGCGAGTTACAATTCAGTACTGGTGGCCGGATTGTTATTCGTGTTCCTGGTGGAGTAAATGAGCTGTCAGTATTGATGATGTTGCATAATTGACATCTAGAGCTGTTACATTGTGTGTTGTCATGTATCGGTTTAGTGGAGGAGAGTTTAGATGAGGTTAAAGTGGACTTTAAATTAGGGGGTTGCCTACGTGCTAGTAGAGGGGGCTGTAAAAATAATTCTTTAATCGATGGGTCTTCTTGGAGGGAGAGGAAGTCTCTTTTAATTCTCTTAGACAGTTGCAGGATACTGGGGCTATAGTCAAATACCATAGGTAACCGATCATTGTTAAATTTAGGTCTATATGTGAGAAGGTCAGTGCGGGATTTACGTGAGGCTTTTTTAATCTGGGTTTTTATTACATTTAATGGGTAGTTACTTGACATGAACTTGCCAGTGAGAAGAGATATGTGTTTGTTATAGTCGGATGGACATGAGCAGATTCGTTTGAGACGCAGGCATTGACTGTAGATGAGCGATCGTTTAAGACTCATAGGGTGTGAGCTTCTGTAGTCGAGGTATCGATTGTTGTCTGTGGGTTTTATGTGTACTGATGTGGTGATGTTACCATTATCTAAATTTATAGATACGTCTAAGAATGATAAATTGGACTTCGAATGATCCATGGTAAACTTAATGCTCGAATGATACGAATTGCAGTGATTAGAAAATTCTTTAAGACTCTAAACCGTGCTCCCAAATAAAAAATATATCATCAATATATCTACAATAGTATGATGGTTTCAATTCAAAACTCGATAACATAATGTCCCGATAAAAACAAATTTGTGCAGGGCCTAGAGTGGGATCAGAATGCTTAGAAGCTGTCTACTGTAGGCCTAGGCCCCCTTAGACTTAGCTGCGTAAGCCTGTAGGCCTAGCCTATGCCAGTGTAAGTAGTACCACTGCAAATATATAGGAATTTGGGTCAACCCCGATTTTACGAATACCCGAATTTACGAACGGCTCTGGGCCCGTGCCGTACGTAAATGAGGGGTTCTACTGTACACATATACATATATAC